GCAGTTGGCTGAGGAGTTCGCTCTGCTTCCAGTACGACACGGCGAGGATGAGACCAACACCATACTAGCCAGAGAAATGCCGCTGCCAGTGAAAGGCGCTCCAGAATCGCCGCATACGAAGGCACACATCCTTCTGCAAGCCTACCTCTCCCGACGGACTCTGGAGCTGCCGGTCTCCGACTATGTGACTGACACCAAGTCGGTGCTGGATCAGGCACCGCGAGTCCTGCAGGTAAAATCCCTCCCTCCCCTCTTTTATATTCTCTAAACAAATGCAATCGATAGGGCGCTAGTTACGAAGGCCTAGTCTCTGTTCGGTATGTGCATATTCTTAGGCCAACCGAAGGACATTTGTTCGCTGTATATTGTCGGGTTCCTAAACTGACTATCCAATACCTATCTAGTCACAGCGCACAGACTCGAGCTCTCCTGTCGTTCGAAAAATTTATTTTGACTGTGACTCTCCATACAGAGGTTGTATAGGTTGTTCCTACATTCGCGCGTAGGCCTGGACCGCTTTTTGTCGATAAAGCTACGCCGAAACCACGTTGTCGTGGGAAGCATGTTCTAGGCTACCGACTGTCACTGGGATTATGATTGCAGGCCTGTAGTCTCGCGTGGAAAGGATTTTGCTATGGCTGTGCACATATATCCTATGTTTAGATTGCGTATTTGCCTAACAGAAAAACAGGTCAATGTGTTTTTCTTTTTCCTGGCAGTGCAATTTCGTCAGTGTCGTCGTTCATGTTCTGTGGCAGATGGGTCGCCTTCTATGCAGGCTGATAGAGTATTGTAGTATTAGAAAGTTACCTTTCTGTGCACTAGGCTGTGCTCACCTTTCCATACTCCATCTTTCGAGAAATGTATTCAAACACACGTTAGCTTGGTAAACGTATGTTTTCGGTTGTACCTCGCTAGGCCGATGCAATGGCATAAGGAGTGAAATCGCCATTTATGCACATTGTTTTGTCGGTGGGGTAGGAGTGGTAAGTCACGTCGCCTGCGTGACCGAATCGGCATGTTGAGGGCTTTGGGGTCGATAGCGGGGGCGGTGACGAGAAGTATTCAGAGACGGAACACTTTGAGTCTGCTATTATCTCTATGCCGACACACTATCCTAAGTAGGGCGGTGGCTGGCTTTGTGACACGAGAGGCTTTCTTACCTCTATTCGACGGAATTACGAATTTCCTTTTAAGGTCTTTTTATAACTGACCTATTCTTAAGTAGTACTAATTTTCGCCAATTCTTTCCCTACTGTAGTTTCTCCATAGTAGAACTTTCTGTAGGGGACCTACTTGCCTTTGACTTATAACGATATCCCACTTTTACATTTTCAGTAACCTGTCTTTCCTTTTTTCGTTAAATGCCGCCAGTACAAGGTTGAATTTCTTTTTTT